TATATAATATATGAATAGATGTGTTCTTATTATTTTGGTGAGTAGAAACCTTCTTCGAGTACTCCTTTTTATAGATGCACCATTTATGAAATAATAACATGAATAATCAAAATAATAATAGGGAGGAGTTGTAAATACATACAGGAGTTAAATTGATATTAGGAATATTAATCATGCGGTAAGTTATAGTCAAAGAATTAGATCTCATAATAGAAGGTTACAAGCTTTATATAAAAAAATTCTCTAACAATAGCTAGGGTGGGGATAAAGCCGCTTTGACGTCTATTGTATGCCGAATTTTGGTAACAATGAAACATTAATATTACCTCAAATTACAAAGATTTGAATGTAAAGAGAAGCTTGACGAGCTGAAGATGATTCAAGTAAGTTGTGATACATGTCATTACATTCCCGAGTATCGTCGGTGGCCACCTAAACTGGTGTTATATAGCATTATTTTTTCAAGAAATGGGAATATGGTGACCCATAATCTTGTCTACTACGCTACTCATTTCCTAGTGACAGTTCACATAGTACATATTTTATTTCCTCTTTTATTCGCAATAATTTGAGTTAAGAAAACACCGATGGTCACCATTTTTAACATTCATTCCGAATTTCGATTTAGGTACACTAGTTCAATAGCAAGAACTTACATCCCAGATTTTCCATTATTAAACTGCCAATCTTGATAGAAAAACTAATTCCAAATAGGAAAGTGAGGGAATTTAATTGCTACTAAAAAGTTATTTTGTTGGATATGAAGCATGTTCAGCAATGCCACACATGCCTTCTCTGGCTTTGATGCCCCTTTGCACCCTGATGTAACCTTTTTCCCCCCAGTCTGGACCCCAAGAATTCTTCAATATCCAATACTTAGTACCATCTATACTTGTACCATACCCAACTACTACAGCAATGTGATTTAGATCGGTCCCACACTTGCTGGTTAGAGTCCCATCCTTGTAGAACTGGAACAGACTTCCATCAATTGCAACAGAGACGGTCGGTTAGCCACGGCCTTTAACAGTGCTCTCTCATTATTTTTTGGAATACAGTGATGGCTAGTTATCATTGCTACAAGAGAGGATGACTTGCTCCATCCAGCCACCATTGCAGGCATCAGAAGTACTTGTACAATCTATTATTTGTTGCTCAGATAACGAAACTAAGTTTCTAGTTTTGATCTTAACAAGGCCTTCAGTAGCAGCCACTGCTCCAAATACCCAGCAACTTCCTACGTATTCATAATAAATAGGATTACTTAATGAAGGATGAAAGGAAAGATGATTGTTGAAGCATATTAGTAAACACAGTTTGGTATCAATATGACTAACCACATTGTCCTTGGTCCTGAACAGGGGTAACGGCTCTCCTTGCTCTCCAGTCAAGACTAGTTGGAAGTGCTTTCACTTTTTCGAACATGAACAAGGTTGTTGATGATGGCTGAAATGATGGTGTACTTAACAAGGAATTCTTCATTGGTCAAGTCTGCAAATTTGTTGATCCGAAGCTTGTATTTGTTATTAGCAGCTCTGTTGAAGCTCATGATCATTAGATGAGCATGATGTTTCCTGGTAAAATGATGCTGCAAATATAAAGAGAAGAGTAAGAAAACAATTTTCTTGAAGAGAAGCCATTGTATGGAAAAATCTATAAGATTCTGCATGCAAAGGATGCCTTCCTCTTTAAAAAGTTGATAAACGGATATAGAGTTCAGAGTTGTTTAGAAAGAATAAACTACATGCTGGTTAGGCATCTAACAGGGTATTCCATATGTTTGCCATCTAGGATAGTATTTGCCTTCCATCTATATAGAACTTTTTTAACATTTAGCAATGATGGTTGATCCGATAAATCTGCACGGTGTGTGCAATGTACAGTTTCTATGGTTTTAGGTATTTGTTGAAATTGATAGCAATGCACAGTGTGCAATATTCAGTTTCCATAGTTTTAGGGATCAATTGAAAGCCAGTTGTGTGCATCCATGAGTTCTTCAGTGGCAGACCCAAAAACTCCTTCAGTCATCAATTTCAGTGAAAATATTCATTTTAATCCATAAATTTCGATGTCCAAACTACCTTAGGAGATTTCAATTTGAAACTCTCCTTATCAAGCTACACCTCATGGGCTTCATAGATATTATAACCTGACTATGACTTTCCTTATTCTTGAATAGATGGGCTTGTACTGGAAACAGAATATTACGAAGCAAAATCCCATTACTAGCTTCCACGTTTTATTTTATTTTTCACTTTTAAAGAGAAAAATCTGAATTTTTCGAGTATAAATAAAAACTGAGTTTACAGATCAAGACAAGTAGCTTCACCTGTATGGCCTCGGTGTCAATATCAATTCATCTGGTTTCTCCTCAGGTTGCACAAACCTGGATAGACTATTTTTCTCTTTTTAGGAAGATAATTGAGAGTGATCTCCAGCTCATTTCGTAATAGGTCTATGCTCAGACAACTCACTCTAGAATACTTCATATGCAAACTCAGGGACATTGATTGAAGTAGATTATCTCATGATTTTCAATCATCTCAAGCCCCGTGCCAAGAATATTAGGGAGTTACTAATCTATTTTCATGGTCAAATCAATGGTAGCCTTGACATTTTTATAAAACTAAATTTTCAGTGAATGCTTATAAAACTTAAGGCACATGCAACTGCGGGTGTTATTGATGCAGGAACAAATAGACATTTTAATAATTGTAACCAATAAATATGTAAGATGACAATATTCGAAATTTTTTTTACCATTTTCTCACAAATGCTGCCCGGCATGGAAAGCTTCTAAACCAGCA